TATATGTATATAGTGCGTTTTTTCTTTTGCTATGCATTGTCATCATTGTATGTTTCTATACAAAGATGAATTTGGTTCTCTACATTTAACTCATCACACATGAGACACCCAGGTGGAGCAGCCGACAGCTTTGTTAGCACCTGAGGAGCAGTTAAAAATGAGCACTTTTAAGTCAAATAGAAACCTTTAGTTATAATTAACCCTTTTTATTCCCATTTAATGTTTCAAAGCACCACAAAACATTTGACTTCTACCTAAAAGTCAACTTTTGGATATTCCTTCATGAAACTTGTTTAAATATAACTAGTGTTTTCAAGGAAAAAAAACAATTTAATCATTGATAGATGGAAAATGGACATTTTTAAAGGAATGTAAAATGGTATCATCTGCATACAAGTTGATCAGTTTTATTAGTAAATGGTAAATGTAGTGTACTTATATAGCAACTTTTTATCTTATCAAGTAACTCAAAGCACTTTACAACACAACCTGTGCAAGAGGTGCTAAATAATTTTAAATAATTTATTTTAAATAAAAATTCCATGCAGATTGTGTGGTTCATCCATCAATCAGCCAATTGTGTGTCATGTACAATCTTATTTCGAAAAACCGCGATAGAGTGAGTCCGTGAAAAACGAACCGCGATGTAGCGAGGGACTACTGTACGCTTAAAAATAAAATAAAATAAAATCAAGATCTTTGTGGTCCATAAGTCTTTTAATCTTGACAGTTTTGGCCCACTTATGAAGAAGTTTGGACACCCCTGTTAAAGAGGACCATGTCCACCATACGTCTTAAAATAACTGTGCAGCATTATAGTCTAAAAACTAAAGGAACTTAATGAAAATCTGGTATTTTAATGTATTTCACATAACTTTTAACATGTAGAACTTTTAGTTAGTTGGTGTAAATACAGGAACAGATGAAAAAAATGTTTTCCTTTTAGGTTCCCTAAACAAAATTTATGATATATTCACAAGAAGATATAGTAAAGTGACGTTTTATAACCACTTTTCAGTCATTCAGTCAGGTTTTTTGTGGTAGTGATATTGGGCTCATGAAATTATTACAGAAAATTTGTACAATATTATCCAAAAAAGTTCAATCTGGTCCTCTGGACATTCAAAAAAACAAAACAAAGCAAAAAAAAAAACTTGTGCTCCAAAGTTTGGAGCACAAGTTAGGAGTCATCAGGACTCTGTATCACAGAGCAGACAGTGTCCCCACAAACTCAGGAGCCAGGCAGAAGGAGAAATCCCACACAAAACAGGCTCTAGAGCAATGTGGATATCCTAACTGGGCCTTCCTGAAAGCAGAGAAGAAACCCAAACAGGACTCCAGTCAGCCAACAGGTGAAAAGGAGGAACCCAGACCCAGACCAGTGGTCATTCCGTATGTTGAGGGAGTATCAGAGAAACTGAGACGTTTATTTTCTAAACATAACGTCCCAGTGGCTTTTAAACCCCAAAATACATTACGGCAAAGACTGGTTCATCCCAAAGATCCAGTCCCCCGGCACAAACAGAGTAATGTTGTGTATGCTGTTCAGTGTCAGGAGGGCTGTGATCAGTCTTACATCGGGGAAACTAAACAGCCACTAGCCAAAAGGATGGACCAGCACAGAAGATCGACATCATCAGGCCAGGATTCTGTGGTCTACACTCATCTCCAGGCCAGCGGTCACTCTTTCAGGGATGAAGATGTTCACATCCTGGACAGAGAGGAACAATGGTTTGAGAGAGGAGTAAAGGAGGCCATCTTTGTGAAAAGAAATCGTCCATCATTAAACAGGGGTGGAGGCCTCCGGGTTCAACTGTCCCCCTCTTACAATGCTGTGATTGCTAGTATCACTCAGCCCTCTGTGAGTAGTAAACAGCCATCAGTGTGCTAATGATCCATTGTTAGGCTGATGGTCCTTCTTGAGCATGTGAGCAGCTGGTTTTGGTTGTCAGCAGCAAAACTGGTCGATCCACTCTGAGAAGGTGCTATTTAAGAGACTGAGCTGAATACAGCACCTCAGACTGAGGAAGTCTCTCGGATGAGAGACGCAGATTGAACTTTTTTGGATTTTTCTACCTGGATTATTGAGCATGCATCAGGATGTACAGTATTATGTTGCACAGCCCAAAGTAAAAAATCTGCCGTACTGATTGTGTCGTGTTTTTGTTTTTGCTGCAGGCATCTGGGCCACAGACCACAGTACCTTCCCCTGGAAAATGGTTTTGACGAATGGTTTGGTTCTCCAAACTGCCACTTTGGTCCCTACAACGACAAGATCAGACCCAACATCCCCGTCTACAACAACTCGGAGATGCTTGGAAGGTAGCAGCAAGCACTTTACACAGAAACACGAGACCGAAAATCTATAAAAGTCTTGTATTTTATCATGACTCAGTTGTATAGTTTGTTTTTTCTGCTTCTTTGGATAAGTTGAGTGCTCCCCCACCCATCCGATTTCCTCCTCTGTACCAGCTGGGCTTGTGTATTCCATTTTCCGCCCATTTGTTTTCCCCCAAACAGCCATATGTGTATTCAGGGTCACTGGAACTGGCAGCCGGGCGTGTTTTTCGCTAAGCCGTGGGTTTAATCAGCGCTGCATACCTGAGCCCTGGACAGAAACACACGCGCGCACACATAGATGAAGGCATGTATACACAGAGACACACACGCCCTCCAGAGACGGCAGGTTGCGTTGTCTGAGTGTGAGGACACCTGGATGAAGTGAAGCATGAGAAAAAGATTTCTGTCACTGCTTCTCGGCTCGCAGCGGCACGCTTCAGTAGCACCTCATAACAGTCCCCGCTGCTCGGTTTTGCTGAGACTTCCCACATATGTCTGCCTCCAAAATATCCAGCCAACAGGTGGGAAATAGATTTGCATCCATTGTCTTAATATTTTCTGCAGTAACTTTGATTCAGTTCAGTCAGATTAAAAGATCTGATGATACTAAAAGTAAAGAATGAGCTCATACTGAAGAAAGAAGTTTCCATTCAGTTCAATTCAGTTTATTTATACAGCACCAAGTCACAACAGAAGTTATCTCAGGGCACTGAACAGAAACATTCATATATAAAAATAATAATTTAACATTATTTGTCTGAGGAGCAGACTGCTGTGAGTTTAACTCCATCGCAGAACTCTCATCTTGAGCAAGCATGAAGGCGACATTGGAAAGGAAAAACTCCCTCATGAGGAAGAAACCTTTAGCAGAACCAGACTCGGGACAAGCGGACCATCTGCTTCGACTGGCTGGGTTTGAGAGGAACAGGAAGGAGGAACAGATACACAATGGCAGGGCGAGAATCACATGTTAAGATAGATAGAAATAATATCAAATGAAAACTATTCAATTTTAACAATTAATTTAAGGAAATTAGGTCAATTTGTCCTCCAGTAGTCTAAGCTTAAGGCAGCATGACAAGCTGACCCTAACTATAGGATTTATCAAAAAGGAACGTGTTAAGCCCAGTCTTAAAACTGGACGTGTCAGCTCACAGACAGAAACTGGAAGTTGGTTCCACAAGAGAGGAGCCTGATAACTGAAAGATCTTCCTCCCAGTCTGCCTTTAGAAACTCTAGGAACCACGAGTAAGCCTGTAGTCTGAGAGCAAAGTGCTCTGTTAGAAAAATATGGAACAATAAGATCTTATAATATGGAGCTAGGTTGTTGAGTGCTTTGTAGGTTAGAAGTAAGATTTTGAATTCAGTTCTGGATTTGACAGGGAGCCAATGGAGAGAAGCTAAAACTGGAGATATGATCTTTCCCATTAACTCCAGTTAAGACTCTGGCAGCAGCATTTTGGATCAACTGAAGACTTTTTAAAGACGTATTTGGACACCCAGATAATAAACCACTGCAATAGTTCAGTCTAGACGTGACAAATGCATGAACCAGTTTTTCTGCATCATTTTTAGAAAAGATGTTTCTAATTTTAGTGATATTACGCAGGTGGAAGAAGGCAGTTGTAGTAACGTTTTTAATGTGGGGGATAAAAGACATGTCCTGATCAAAAATAACACCAAGATTTTTAACATTAGAGCTGGAGGCCAGATTAATGTCATCCAAGGAGGGCGGAAGACTGAAAAATTTATTCCTAAGGTGCTCAGGTCCAAAAACTAAAACCTCAGTCTTGTCTGTGTTCAAAAGCAGAAAATTTAGGGTCATCCAGGTTTTTATGACCTTAAGACATGCTTGTAGTCCAAGTAACTATTTGGATTCATTGGGTTTCATTGAAAAATTCAGTTCAAAACTCAAGACAAGACAAATTCAAGTTCAAAGTTTCAGTTATTTTAACCATTCAAAACCCCCAACCATGAGTCTAGAATAAAAGTCATGTCATTTCTTGTTTTGCAGGTACTTTGAGGACTTTAAGATCGACATAAAAGCCAGTGAATCAAACCTCACTCAGATGTATTTGATGGTAAGTGAATGTTTGACTCAGATTAACTGGCCCATTTATTGCTACTTCTCTTCTTATATAAAATTCACCACCATGAAGGACTGTTTTCACCTCACATGAACATAAAAGCACAAAAACAAATTATATCAAATCAAAAAAACTGTTTTTATTATAATGGTGCTTTCACGAGCCAAGGTAGATTATTGACTTTATTTTTTACACTTGCGTTGATTCTCTGTGGCCGACATCAGTCTGTCTTATTATGTTCTTAACAGGATCAAAAGCAGCACGCTGGGACACACGGCATGCTTGAGAGGTGTAATTTGTCTTCACATTAGGAGGACGGGCCTGTCGAGCACAGCTTTTTAAAGCTCATATTAGTGTCTTTGGAGGCTCGATTGGTTTCAGCTGAGAAGCTGTTTGTCCGATGACACAAAAGGGAAAAAAAAATACAGGTCATTCCTTTTGAATTTTGTTTTCATAAAAAATAAATATATACAAATTTGCTGCAAAAAAAGCTAGAACTAAAAGTTCAACACAAAGTCTAATTTTGCACAAAACTTTAGGTGTCTTTAATTTTTTTGCATTCTTCTTCTTCCTGCTGTTCCCGTTTCAATCCTTGTCTTTTTCCTGGCAGCTGCATTTCAGTGTACCCACTGTCCCTCCTCTGGACATGTCCAAACCACTGTCCCTCCTCTGGACATGTCCAAACCATATCAGTCTGGCCTCTCTAACTTTATCTCCCAGTTGTTCAACCTGTGCTGTATCTCTGATAATCTCATTCCTAATCTCATCCATCCTTGTCACTTCCAAGGAGAACCTCAACATCTTCATTTCTGCAACTTCCAGTTCTGTCTTTTTGTCAGTGCCACTGTCTCCAGACCATACATCAAGAAAAAATTAGTAATGAAATTTGTATGATGTTGAAGAGTTTTTCATCTCCAACTTTAAAATAAAAATGATAAAATCATTTCAGTTTCTTTTGAACTGTTAGTAACTTCCATCTTTGTGAAGTTTATAAAGTTTTTTTTCCCATATATCTATAGTTTGACCCAAAACTATTTATATAAGTGCTAAGATTGTATTACTTGTAGTTTTTGCTTTTTTGTTTAATTAAAAATTAAAATTATGTTTACTTATCAAAGTTTACCTGTCGGTCTACGTTCCTACCCTCACCTATGACCATGAACTCTGGGTATTGACTGAAAGAATGAGATCAAGGATACAGGCGGTAGAATGAGTTTCCTACGCAGGTTAGCTGACTCTCCCTTAGAGATATGGATCTGAATGGATGGATGGATGGATGGTTGGATGAATGGATGGATGGATGGATGGTTGGATGAATGGATGGATGTCAACGTATGACCCTCAGAATAAATTCCTGGGAAATCTTCAAACCAAAATAAACTTTCTGAGCAATTAAACATCTGCTGTAAATCAAAACTATTACTAGTGTGAAAACATTTTTAAGTACATTTTATTTATAGTACCAAAAAACAAAGGTTTATAGACATTTTTATTAGTATGATTAATCAAAAACGCAAACTAATGGATGAATTGAATTAAGTTATTTCAAACGAAGATGGAACTTTAGCTTCTTGTCTGATTGTATTTTAGCTGAACACCATATTAAAACCACTTGAATGAGATGTTAGTGTGAAAGTAGGTTTTCTGTAAAAACCTGTGGATGAACAGGGTAATAACAGTTTGTTCTTCCTCCCAACTCTGCAGGAAGGTCTTGCCTTCATATTTCGTCAGGCCAAAGCCAAGCAGCCCTTCTTCCTCTACTGGGCACCCGATGCCACCCACGCCCCCGTTTATGCCTCCAAACCTTTCTTAGGGAAGAGCCAACGAGGCCGGTAGCTTCTGCTTCACCTTCCTGACTCAGTCACTTTAAACTTGGGGTGAAAGCATTTCTTAGTGAGCTGTGATTGCGTTTGTCTCAGTTACGGAGACGCAGTGATGGAGTTGGACAGCAGCGTCGGTCAGATCCTGAAGATGCTGCAGAGTCTGGGCATAGAAAAGAACACCTTTGTCTTTTTCACGTCGGACAACGGAGCAGCTCTTATATCTGCCCCAACTGAAGGTGGGCACATTTTTTTCACATAACGTAATGAATGTGTTTTCATCAGAGACTGATTCACTTTCTGCTCTTTTCGTGTGATGAATAGAGATTTGAGTTCTCACGGCTCTGGTTTGTCAGGTGGCAGCAACGGGCCGTTCCTCTGCGGGAAGCAGACAACGTTTGAGGGCGGCATGAGGGAGCCCGCCATTGCCTGGTGGCCTGGACACATCAAGGAAGGCATGGTAAACATACATATTTTTTAAGTTGCAATACAGTAGTCCCTCATTTATCGTGGGGGAGCCGTACCCTGAAGTTCCGCGATAAGTGAAAAACCGCGAAGTAGGAATAGTAGTACAAGTAGTAAGTAGTAGTCTATGTTAGTGTATATATATGTCGTTTTAAACCCTTCCCACATTCTTGCAATATTCTAAACAAGTTTTCTAAACACTAAATGCTCTAAAAGAGCACAGAATGTCATGATTTCCTTCTCTCTGCCTCCGCTGCTCTTTGCCACCTGCAAGCGCTCTTGGCCACGCCCACTTCTATGCTCTGCATGGAGAACAGCTGATCAGCTGCAGCAGAAAGTTTATCCTGCGGCATGGGCTGCACAAAGGTGCAACAGGCGCTAAATAATTTAAAACAATTTATTTAAAATAAAAATTCCATGTCGATCGTGCGGCTCATCCATCTATCAGCCAAATGTGTGTCATGTCCAATCTTATTTAGAAACACCGCGATAGAGTTAGTCTGCGATAAACGAATCGCTGTACCACATATTTTTAAACCAAGTATGAGTATCAATATGAGTCCTCATATTAGACTTCATACAATTACGTTGAAACTGTGAGGAGGTTACTTTTTCTGTGAACTCCTCTAACCGAGTCTTTTTTGGGGAAGCTCGTGCTCAGACCTGTGTATTTCCAGGCCTCTCTCCTGCTCACTGACAGATGACAACTGTTTCCTGTTGCTGTTAGCAAACTCTGAGTGTAGCACTGTTTTTTTTAAAGACATTTTATCTAATTGCTTGGGTTGAAGGGGCTGGATTTCATTTGTTCACATGACAGATTTGCTGAGTATAGTTTGCATTTGTTTCATTTGACACAGCTCCTTCTCTACCATCTGACTGCTCAGCTCGGAGGTGACACAAAGTTGTATCAGAACAATTTTATTATAATTACAAAATCATGCAAACAACTTTTTTTTTTCCTCCCTGGCTCTCATCGAGGTGGCTGCTTCTGTCATTCCTCCCCCGTTTTTCTTTCTTCCTGCTCTGCTCTCTGTGTGTCTGAAGTGCCTGGGTCTCATCTCCCGAACATAAATTAAGAAGATTATGGATTTGGTATCGTGGGCGTTCAACTCTATTTATAAGTTTTTTTCATCAAAGCAACAAGGTCCTGGAGAACCGGCTTGTCCAGCTGAGACTCAAGCTGTGGGGTACGTCATGGATCTGTGGCAGTTGATGTGTCTCTCAGTTCTGTCTCAGGAGGATGTTGAAGACGTTTACATATTTGGAATTATGATAGCAGGGACTCTGCTTTTTGGCATCAGCGTGGCTCTGTTTTATCGACTTTTGAAGAAGACATCGGCATCAGTTTCGGCCATGGAAAAGCTTCCGAGTCAGTGTGAAGGTTTGATCCGTGCAGTAGGAACTTTAAATCGTCTGGTTTACGAGCTAAGCCATAAGGTGGAGGCGATTTATGAGAATCGCAGGCCACCTGCGGCTTCTGGGACTCGTCAGCGTGGTGGGTTCGACCTTGAAGGAGACTCATAGCATGGATCAGTGGAATGGAATCTCACAATTGGGCATTTTCGGAACCAGAACGCCCAGATGGACTCATGGCTGGAAAAAAGTAATCTCTGCCTGAAGAAAAACAAGAATCAAGCTTATCTGAATCTGACTCCCGACGGCCTCGGAGACAGGCCGACTATCAAATGTCTCCTGGTACATGAGTAACCAAGGACAAAAGCTTCATCTACCCCCCTATGTCAAATGCAAATGTAATCATGTTTTAATTGTGCTGCTGGTAGAGTTTTTTTATATGTCTCAAATCGTGTCCTGATAGACGAGATGTGGAAGATCTTTTTTTTGTAATACCACTATCTACCCTCATGTTTCTCCCCCTTTTCCTATCTAAGATTATTATCTGATAAGGATAAGAAGGCCACACTTTCTATAGTTGCAGCTTCGTGCACTCCGCCCATCTTTCGGACGACTGTACGTACACATTCGTGTTGTTTCTCGGCGCAAGGCCAATAAAGTTTATTCTGACTCTGATTCTGAACAGATACCTGACGCTGGCATTAGTGTCAGTGCATCCCTATTTTAAAGTGTCTACCACAATAAGGCAAATCAATCCACAAGTCTCTGCTGCATTCACTCGAGAATAGACTCGAGATTGAACTTAAAGACTTCTTTTTCTTCTTAAGTGTTTTTGTTTCCTTTCTGATGTGCCTGTGAGGCTGCACCAGAAGCAGGAGTGTTCTTTCAAAAGCCTCGAGTCAGGTTTAGAATAAATGAATACATGTTTCACTAATCCCTTCTTCAAATGACTGTTGTTGTTTTGGTTTGTGTGTCGTTTTCCACTTTGCACGTGCACTCTATGATCAAGTGGCACAATTAATTTAGTGACTGTGCACGACTTCTATCAGCCAGCTGAACTCTAGAAACACTTAAATAGAACTGATTTTAGCCACAAAGCGTTCCTTTTTTCTCCCCATCTATTGATTCCTCAAATATTTTTGGCTTGAATAAATGCCATTACTCTCACTTCTATTTCCAACCCATTCCCCGATATACACCCCCCCCCCCCCAATCCTGCCACACATACACACCCACCATGATCCCCTAAGCCTGCACGTTCTGCAAATGACTTTTAATTGTATTAGGGGCAGCTGTGACACGGGGCTGTGACGCAGAGGGATTTTGCGGAGGAGCAAGCGGAGGCTGCAGTCGCAGTAAGCCTTGCCCCTGGCTCATCTCACAGGGTTGTGCTGGGGCCTGATAGCGCAGCAGAGTAGCGAGGGAGAGGGGGATTGGGAGCGTCTTAAGCGGCTAATCTGTTTGTGTGTTTGCTGAGGTTGGATTGAGCCGTAATGAGGACTTCAGTATCTGAATATGCCAGGCGTTCAGGATAAAGAAACAGGAGAGGACGGGGTTGAGAGGATGGGGGGGTGATTGCAGGGAAGGAAGTAAGGAAAGAGGTGGGAAAAAGAAAAGAGGGGATAAAAAAAAACCTAGCATAACCAAAGACAGACTTTGCCACATTGCACGGAATGATGTGCTCGCGAGGCTTTGACGCACCTGTGTTGTGTTAGTGTTGTGCACGTAGTAAGAACTGCTTGTGGACAGCTTTTTGTGTTGCGCTATCAGTGCAGATGTGCAGCCGTAGCCATAAGTCACTGGGCCTACAGAGCTGCTCTGAAGATCTCTGGAGCTGTGATGACAAAGCTGCTTTGTTGGAGCTACTGTAGTCCTCAGATCTGGATTTATTGTGGGTGCGGTGTTGCTTTTGGAGGGAGGACAAACCAAACACAATGTTGCCCCCTCTTTTATGTGATAGTCTTTTGAAATCTGTTGATTTGCGCTTTGAAAAGCCCCATAAGCTCTTGGAGCATCAACAACTTTTGTGTGGGAGGGGGGGGGGGGGGTTCAACAGGTTTATTCAAATTCATTTTGGCATGATCTAAACGAGGAGACCAGTTCATGAGCTCTGAAGTTTGCTGATTCCGATATTTATGAGTTTGGCTCGTATGTCCAAGTAGGTGTGCTGGAATGATGGAGCAGAGCCGGATGCAGATTCAACTTTCTCCCGGTGCCTGAGGAGAGGGATGAGGGGCCGGGGGTTGGCTGCATGAATAAAGATGGTAAAGTGGGTGGGCTGTCAGGCCCACGACGGGGTTTGAGCATCACAATCCTTCCTGCTGGTTTATCAGCCGCAGACACGCGTCCAGACGATGGAAGAGATGAGCGTAGGAGCGCCCCATCCTCAGATAACTGGTGCTGCGACACAAAAAGAAACGAGAGAAAGAAAATGTAATGTTTCACAGAGTGATTTGGACAAAACAGGGAAAGAACAAAAAGGTGAGGACATAAACGGACAGCTGAAGAGGGCAGAGGTAAGACAAGAAGGCCATAAAAGATGCCAACTCATGAGATAAAGTCCTCTGTGTGGCCAGTCTGAGTTTGGCTCTTTGTTCATGCAAGTTATTACTGACTAAATGTCAACGCCGCTTCTGCTCTTTTCCTATTGTCCCGTCTTCTTTAATAGTCAGTGTTTGTGTCTGAGGGAGGCTTAAAAAATAAAAATGAAGTAAAGGACTGAATCTGTTTGTGCTCAGGAGAGAGAACGAGTGTCTGGATGTGCAGATAGATCTTAGAATGCGTTGCAGTCTTTTTCTGTGGCTGGTTCTGTGGATTTAGAAGAAAAGGGGGAGTTCATTTCTGTGTGCGTGTGCGTGCGTGCGTGTGTGTGTGCGTGCGTGCGTGCTGGCCGACGATAGGAGCACGGCGGCTCATGGTGGTGCATCTGCAGAGGCCTGATAGCCGATATCTGATTGTGAGCGTGCCGTCTCCCTCTAAGGCTCGCTCAGGAGAGAATGGAAGGGAAGATCAAGGATGACAGCGAAAAAATGGCATTTTATCTGAAAATGGTTCAAAGTTTATAAATAAAATAAAGCCTTACACAACGACTGGGAGAAGGAGATAAAACACCAGCTTGCGCCAGCTTCAGCAGCCTGCTTGCCCGGGCCGTGTCCTTTCCCCACTTCCTCCCCCCTCCCCACCGCAAAAAAAAAAAAAACTCATTTAGGAAAGGAAAGGCATTTTGGGGTTTTGATTGTAAAGGTGGGTGCAGAGATTAGACAATAAACTGAAGAAATGCACCTCCTACAGGTAACCACACATGTGAGCCTCCTCTCTACTGTATGTGTTGACGTTGCTGCAGGTCCTTTTGGATTTCAGAGTTAAGTCATCAGGTGTGGATTTGAAAACTGGCAGAGAAGAACCACAGTAATTGCTTAGTTATGTTTTTGTACAGAGAGGAAGTTGTGGTTGGCCCTAATCTTTAAAAAAATTATCCCCAATTCTAAAAAAGTTGTGACATTGATTAAAATATAAATGAAACAAATGCAATGACCTGCAACTCACACGAACCCGTATTTTATTGATGATGGAATCAGTAAACATATCAGATGATAAAAACTAATTAGCTGCATGTGCTTCTTCATTCCCTCACCTTTACGCAGGTGAGTTTGCAGCCTGCTAATGTCATGGACCTGTTCACCACTTGTCTGGCTCTGGCTGGCATCGACCCTCCTCAGGACCGCATCGTGGATGGACTAGATCTGACGCCGGTCTTGTTAAACTCCTCCAAAACTCTTGAAAACCGGTGAGAAGTTCCACTTTTTGTCCTTAGTTAACTGCTTCCTTTTTTCCTGGGGGTCAGATTCCCAGCATCTCTGTGGCTTCAAAACCCTCCAAAGGGTGATACCCAGAAGAGATCCTTATTAGGTTTTCGCCGATCCTCACTGCTTTTAGAAAATATATTTTAATGACTCTGTTTTTCTCTGTGATTTAACAGCAAATGAGAGGATTTTGTAAATATTTAAAAAATAAGACGGTTGACCAGATTACATTAAAATGTTGATCTCAGAATGATCTTTATTACCTTAAAGCAATAATTCAGATTTATTGCAGTGGGGTTCTGCAGAAAGGTTATGAACAATTAATATCTTAACTGTTGTAGACAGCTCTTTACGTGACCTTGATTTGTAGAAATAATTTAGTTTTGACCAGACTGATGAGCTAACAGCTTCTGTGAGGCCAAAATCAAAGCACATTGCAGCCATCTTCATGTCAAGTTGATTTTATTGTCATTCTGATCACATGTGACACAGGAGGTGGAATGAAATTATGTACACAGGGTCCCAGTTACACCCAACGATAACAAAAATATAAAGTGTAAAAAGAAACAGTATTTAAGGATCTAAGATATAAACTAAGATATACACTAAACACTAATAATGTAAAATAATACGGCGTAACAACAGCAGCCCAAACATGAATCTGTGGTGAGTAGATGGATATGAATTCATACAGCAGCATGAGATAATCAGCAGCATGTATAATCAGAAGCACAGATAAGTCATCACTAATTAAAGTGGCATTACAGTGATTTTTATTTACAGTGAGTATTGTGGTTAGGGATTCATGAGTCTTAACAGCTTCAGGGTAGAAGCTGTTCCTCAGTCTAGTGGTTCTCTACTTAATACTGCTCAACCTCCTGCCTGAGTGGAACGGGGCAAAAAGTGTGTGCTGGGTGAGTGGGGTCCTTCATGATGCAGGTGACTCTCTTCCTTCATCTGGAGGTGTAGATGTCTGTGATGGTGGGTAGGGCTGGGTACCTTTCTAAAAAAATCTGTATCGTTACCGGTGTCGGTACCTTCACTTCGGTACCTTCACTTCGGTGTTGGTTCCTGGACAGTTCTATTTTCGGTACCAATTTTGTAATTACTATTAATTATAACAAGAATAAAAATACGTTACACATTACAGTACAAATTGTATTGTGAGTTTTATTTTTTAACTTTGGTATTTCTATTTCTATTTTTTTTTTTCATTTACCCTTTATTTATCCAGGTAGTCTCATTGAGCCACGATAACTCATTTTCAAGAGAGACCTGTTTAGGGAGCAGATGGGGGTTAAGGGCCTTGCTCATGGGCCCAGAGTGGGGCGAATGAGCGTGGGGGCAGGTGTGGGTGCTTCACCTACCCTATCCACATTTTTGATGTCAGTACCGGGGCTTGAACCGGCGATCTTCCGATCACAGGCCCACCTTCTCTAACCTCTGCACCACCACTCCCCTATTCCAAACAGTTTTCTTACATAACAATAAACCAAAAATTTCCAGTTCAAAAGAACAGTTTCAAACCAGTGACACGTCAGTGTTTAATGCTCACTGCTACACACTGAGGACCTTTTCACTTAACAGTTTTTCTTCAGAAAAATCAACATGTCTGCTTTCTCTGGACACAAACAAGTCCATTCCTGGCTGATGGTGTCTCCAGCAGTAGGAAATGTTCATTCTGAGGGTGTGGATGATGCTTGTTGCACACACAGAGACCTGGTTGTCAAGTTTGATAGCACTGGTGTATTGTCCCTCACATTCCACCAGCAGGTCACTGGATTCACTGAGGTTAGGGCTGATGCAGACTTCTGCTCTTCTATGTCTCTGCCTGAATCTTCTCTGTGGTTCTCTGGGGTTTAGGGATCTGATCATCTCCCTAATTGACGTTAGAACACACAACATCAACAATAACATGGTTGTGTTATTATTGCTCAAAAAACATTATCTAGGCTGAGAGATAAAAGCTTAACTGGTCAACAATATCCTTTACAGCTTAACTTACCTCCACCGTGCAGCCTCCACTGTAGAAAAAGGCAGCAAACTTTTAACAACAAAGTTTGTGACTGTCCTGGTGCCCCCACCTCACTTTTCTTTTGTCTGTCTCTGTCCTCCTCACATCTCGGTCAGAACCTCCTGTGAGGAGAACATAAGCAAACAGTGAACATTAGTGAACTGTTTAAGCAGCTGACCCAATGGATGAGCACATTTTTACAAGCTAAGCTTCATCTGTTACTGTCAATCTTTAGTTAGCTTCTGAGTTTAGCTAGCTACATAGATAAAATAAATTTACACACTAATATCTTAAAGTTAGCGTTACATAGATTCCAGTTTAATTCACCGCGATGTACGTGTTAAGCTGCAGTAACGTTAACAAACGTAAACTTACCAGCTGAAATCCCAGACACAGCTCCGTCCTCGGAGTTCTTTGATGAAGAGGAGTCCGGTCGTGGAGATAATGAATTAGGCCGTTCAACACTCACAGGCAGACTTTAACACTGCGAGGAGGAGGGGGGAGGCTGCTGTCCACCTCTCTCCTTGCAGAAAAACATGGAGCAACTTTCCGCTCGTAAATTGAAGCCAATCAACGCCACACACGCTGCACACGTGAACCCGTCTGTGCTGTTTGCTATATATTTGCGTTTTACCTGCCGGCGTGCTGAAACCACGTGACACTTTACAGCCAATACCGAAACTTGACACGACAAAAGAGTGACGTTTCACTCCATACACCAACCGACGCAGTGTGGTCGGTGCTATAAAATAACCTTGTTCGGTATGCAGCCTTAATGGTGGAGAGGCTGACTCCAACAGTCTACTGTGCAGCCTTCACCACTCTCTACAAAGCTTTTCTTTCTGCAGCTGTGCAGCCTCCATGCCACACATTGATGCTGGAGCACAGGATGCTCTCCACTTCACACCTGTAGAAGGAGGTGAGGACTGAGCTTCCCAGACCAGCTCGCCTCAGCCACCTGAGGAAGTAGAGTCTCTGATGAGCTTTCTTATTCAGGCTGGTGGTGTTGTTGCCCCAGCTGAGGTTGTCATTCAGGTGTAATTGTAGCTGGAGACCACTTCCACCGCAGATCCTCCTATGTTCAGGGTGACGGGTGGCTAGGTGTGTTTCTTCCATCTGAAGTACACAACCATCTCTTTCGTCTTCTTCACATTGATGTGGAGGTTGTTCTTCCTGCACCATCTCTCCAGGTGTTCCACCTCCTGCTTGTAGCTGGACGACTCGTTGTTTGTGATTCATCCCACCACCACTGTATCGTCTGCAAACTTTACAATATGACAGCCTGGATGGGTAGGTGCACAGTCATACGTGAGCAGTGAACAGGAAGGGGCTCAGCACACAGCCCTGAGGGGAGCCAATGCTGAGGGTAGTGGAGGAGTAGAATTTGTGGATCCTCACAGACTGCGGTCTGTTGATTAAGAAGTGTGGGTAGTTTGTCTCTCAGGGTCTGGGGAATCATGGTATTGAAGGCAGACGTGAAGTCCACAAAGAGCATACGGACTTAGAAGTCCTGCTCCAGGTGGGTGAGAGCAGTGTGGCACACAGAGCAGACGGTGTCCTCTGTTTATTGATTCTTCTTCTTAATACTACATAAGAAGACTAGGGCCTCAGTGAATTATAGTATTTACCGTAATTTCTTTTTTCACACACTTTGAACACAGTGGCTTATATAAATCTAGGGCTAATTTATGGATTTAAAAAAAAAAAATTTTGACGAGCTAACGAACTTCATCCCGCCAAAACATTTAGCCTCGTTACACCTGGGTGCTGACATAGCTGCCCAATACACGACTCTCTTGAGGGGTGGGTCCACATGACTCAGTGAGACCATCTGTATGAATAAAGTAAAAAAAAAATCTGACCAATAAAATTACCCAACAGGTTGCAGTGGACCACTGAAACCAAGTTTCAGCCCGCCCCATTCTCTCCTCCCCTCCCTGTTGTCCCCACAGGGAGGGGGTAAATGAAACAAAGTTACTCCCTCCCTGCAGGTGTTTCCCCCCTCATTGTGCCCTTAGGGAGTGGTAAAACTAAGGGCTCCCACATACTCAGGCGTATGTCACTCCTCAGAGGTCCGCGCGTACTGGATTAGGCTCAATGCGGACTCGAAGCGGACGCCCTCAAGCCATGTCCGCGCAAAGATCAAATTTTATGACCGCGTACACGTACTCGGTGTCGCACAATAACCAGCCGTGCTACAGGCACTGTTGTTCAGGAAAAAATAAACTTTTACTGTGCGTATTTGTGTATGTTACTGGTACGTATTTAATTAAAAGTTTAAAAAAATCTTTGTGTAAATATATCGTTACAATGTAGGCACTCTCGAATTATACACAAGTGCGGCCTATATGTACAATTGTTTTTTATTTATTTAGTGGGTGCGGCTTATAGTCAAGTGCGCTCAATAGTCAGGAAATTACGGTATTTGTTTATTTTTCAGAATTCTATGTTTAAAATCATAATTCTGAGTTGGAAGTCAGAGTTTTGAGAAAAAATAATCGAATGTGGCACTAATTCTGTCCATATAAATAATTCAATTTCATTTCAGTGAATCTGCAGAACATGATAAATTACAGTTTTCTTTGGACAACTCAATTCATGTTTTTAAACATGTTTTCAAGCTAGTTTTGCATAATTCTTCAGAAAATTGATTTGCACATACCTTAGTGGTAATGTTTGATAGCAAATGTGACTTTCTGACATTAGACAGGTTTATATCTTGAAAGTTTGAACTCCAGAATTGAAACTGGGCAGTGAGTAGAAGTTATTGGTCCAACTTCCATAAAAGTTGCAGTGAATGATCAAAATTGTAAGAATGAGCATATTTTGCAAGGTTTGGTTGAATTTGCATCAAAAGTTGCAACATTGCAACTTCCTGGAGGGAGTAACTACGGATTTTCTTTAAAAAAAATTGCTTTGGGTTTAGCCCTGCTCGGACTTACCATTAGCTCATCAATTCAATCCAAACTAATCTGTATTTTATCAAACTAAGGTTGTTTAAAGACCTATCAACAATGGGTAAGATATTGATTTTTAATAACCTTTCCACAGAGTTCCGCTTCAAAAGATCTGAATTATCCCTTAAAGGAATCCCTAAAACTATGCCATCATCAAGTCAAGTATATTATTTTTGTCCCAGCAGTTAAATTTTAGGCCAAAAGATGACGTTTCCTTAACAATCTCATCTGTAGATGATGATTTATGTAAGTAAAGAAGAAAACATGATGGTTTGAGGTTATCTTTAGTCATTCTTCTATGAGTTGCATAAAAAACATGAAAAATTAAAGTGGAAATAAAACATACGTGTGCCAAAATGTAAAGTTTTTTGTGTCAAGTTGGTTGTAACTTTAATCGCAACAAATCTGTTCTTTGTCTTTGACTGTTTTCTTTTCCTAACAGACCTACGTTTTACTATCGTGGAAATGAGCTGATGGCTGTGAGGATTGGTCAGTACAAGGCCCACTACTGGACCTGGAGCAACTCCTGGGAGGAGTTTAAAAGTGTAAGACTCCATTTTAATTTCTTGGCTTTATCCCGTCTCCATTTCCTCGGTTCTTGATTTGCTCTTCCACTTTGTACCCGTTTGTCTTTTCTAATCTCACTGAAACACGCAAACACTTCGGCTGTTGTTTGTGTTATCTTCACACTGGCTCATCAATTGACTGCTGCGTACATCAGAGTGAAATGAATATTAACGAAGAACCCCCCACTTGTGTGAACTTGCATCATTCATCAACCAGTCGACTTATTTGTTCAAACCCTTGTAAAAAAAAAAAAAAAAAACTCTAAATGCATAATCCTCATGACTGTTTTTTTTTTGTGGGGGGGGTCAGAGTTAAATCCACTCAGTTTAGATTTAGGGCAGATTTATACTCTGTCAGACATGCCCAGATTTCTTCTCACTGAAGTGGTTGTGTAACAAAAATTGCGTATTTTTGTTCTCGCACAAGGAAGAACCAGTTCTTTGCACAAACTTCTAGCAGAACCTTTTTTCCATTGTATGTGCTAAGACTGGTCAGAACATCATGGGCGTGCTCATGTGTAAAAGCGGTTGAAGTTCACTGCTCTCGTTTTGCTTCATCTGCACCGCTGAGGAGCAACTAGCCGAGGCTGTCAGAAAAAAAAACAGTCATCTTTGCAAATGTTCTTGGGGGGGGGGGGGGGGGGGGGG